ACACACACACACACACACACACACACACACACACACACACACACACACACACACACTCACACACACACTCCTCAGAGTAACATACCTGAGCCAGTTCAGACCTGAATCTATCAGCAGAACTTCTGCTGCTTTCTAACAAACCCTGAGGCCATCATCAGAAGTCGCCTACAAAATAAACTTTAACAGTTTATAAACCTTTAATGTAACTAAAATATATAAACTTTAACAGTTTATAAACCTTTAATGTAACTAAAATATATAAACTTTAACAGTTTATAAACCTTTAATGTAACTAAAATATATAAACAACAGATTCATATCTAATAACATCACCAATAACTCCAACAAAACTCAATAATTCAAAAGTAGTGTAAAAAGATGAAGAACAGAACCACACACTTGGGGTTCAGGTTCAGTCTGTAAACCTGAGGTTCCAGTCTACTTCCTGGGAGAATGAGGTACAGGTCCAACAAGAGGGACAGGTGTGGTGTCTCTACTGTCCTGCACAGAGTGACCTCTGACTCCTCATGAAGGAATCTGCAGAGCTCTCTGCAGCCGGAGAAGGTGTGGTGGATCAGACTCACGAGTCTCTACAAGCTGTCCTCTGCAGAATGCATCGCCTGAGGACACAGAGCTCACATCTGGGTTAGTGATGGTGGGTTAGCTTAGCATCACTGTGCTAGTTTAGCATCACAGTTAGCTCAGCATCAGTATGTTAGCTTAGCATCACTGTGCTAGTTTAGCATCACAGTTAGCTCAGCATCAGTATGTTAGCTTAGCATCACTGTGCTAGTTTAGCATCACTGTTAGCTCAGCATCAGTATGTTAGCTTAGCATCACTGTGTTAAATCAGCATCACAGTGTTAAATCAGCATCACAGTGTTAGCTTAGCATCACTGTGTTAAATCAGCATCACAGTGTTAAATCAGCATCACAGTGTTAGCTTAGCACCACAGTGTTAAATCAGCATCACAGTGTTAAATCAGCATCACAGTGTTAAATCAGCATCACAGTGTTAGCTTATCATCACTGTGTTAAATCAGTACCACTGTGTTAGCTTAACAACACTGTGTTAAATCAGCACCACTGTGTTAGCTTATCATCACAGTGTTAAATCAGCATCACTGTGTTAAATCAGCATCACTGTGTTAAATCAGCATCACTGTGTTAAATCAGCACCACTGTGTTAGCTTAGCATCACAGTGTTAGCTTAGCATCACAGTGTTAAATCAGCACCACTGTGTTAAATCAGCACCACTGTGTTAGCTTAGCATCACAGTGTTAGCTTAGCATCACAGTGTTAAATCAGCACCACTGTGTTAGCTTAGCACCACAGTGTTAAATCAGCACCACTGTGTTAAATCA